AATATTTCAAATAACACCTATTAATTGGAAAACGGAATCAGCCAAAATTAATTCATTTAACATATATACTCGCATATCAGCGGGACATAAACAATTAATTGTTCATATAATAAATTAAAATACATGAATGTTTTTACAGAAAACATATTCAATACAAATAAACTGTTTATACTAATATAGATATGACACATACTCATAGTTCAACTGACAATAGGATCATCCTCGATTTGATCTTAATAAAGACATGAACATTTCCTTAAAAACAAACATAACAAAATTTAATCGATATTTATGTCAAGATTGTTAAGGAACAATTATTCATTCGTATAAAAATTGTTACCCGAAAACGAAATCAATTAAAGTTAATTAATCTTCATATAAAATTCTTAAGGAATACACTTACCATTCGACATGACTAACACAATTAATCATTCAAATAGATTGACCGAACAAAAACAATCATTCAACCAAATAATAACCATTAAAATAGTTAAGAGACATACTTACAATTTCGTATTAAAACAGTGAGAATATATACTTATAGTTCAGAAGAACGAATCAAAATAACTACTCATTTGACAATGTCAATTGAACATCATTCCTTTATTCCATGCCAATTCATGAATCTTTGACCTGTGAACAACAAAAAAAACATAAATAAATAAAAAATCATCGATTAACAAAATCATGAAGAACAGACTTATTATTGACACAAACTAACATGACCTATAAACAATTAACAAATTATCAAACGTATTGTTGTACCAACTAACATATTGCAATAATACACAACTGAACATATGCCCCTTTTATAAACCCTTTTTTAGACCTTAAGAATGCCAACACAATTGAATACGAAGAAAGGTTTGCAATGTCAATACAATGCACCTATATAATTATTAATAAACAGGTATGTTTTTACTACCAATGCAATATATCTATGTAATCCAATCTTTATGCTTATTTATTTAGACCTTGGAATACCAATGTAACAATTAATATTTTCTACATCATCACCAATAAAATTCAACCACATGACAATCACAAATCTAAAGTGTTATTATGGTTAAACCTTTAGAATGCTAATGCAATGCACCTATGTAATCCAATCTTTATGTCTATTTATTTAGACTCTGGAATATCAATGCAGCAATTAATATTATCTACATTATCACCAATAAAATTCAACCACGTTGCAATCACAAATCCAATGTGTCATTATGGTTAGACCTATAGAATGACAATGCAATGCACCTATATAATTAGTATTATTAATAATTATTAATACAACCAACGCAATGCACCTATATAATTAGTATTATTATTAATTATTAATACAACCAATGTAATGCACCTATGTAATAATAATAATAATAATAATTATTATTATTATTATTATTATTATTATTATTATTATTACATAGGTGCATTGCATTAGTTGTATTAATAATAATAATTATTATTATTACAAATCCCATTTTTTAATTAATTAATAATCATAGATGGAGCAATAAATACAAACACAACGTGTCAAGATAGAGCAATTTGATTGGTTTGTCAATCCAATGTGTCAAAATGGAGCAATTCTAGAACTTCCGAAATGTGCCACGTGTCAATCAACCTATATGGGTATTCAACTTCATATATATATTATTGGACCTTACATTATTTGAAATTTGAAATTATGAAAAACTATTCTAAACAAGATAAGATAGGATTGAATCAAATAGGATAGGACTCTGAGAATGTGTTTAATATAATGTCTGAAAATTATATCAGAGTTGAATAAAAATATTTAATAGTTATTTGGTATATTTTTGGAAAACATTTTCTGAAAATATTTAGATTATTTTTTAACTTTATACATTTATTAATTTAGCTAAACTCCTCCCAAAATAAAAATTAATAAATTAATAAAAACAACACTCCCCCCCCCCCCCCCCCCCCCCCCCCCCCCCCGACTACCAGAAGTCAGCCACCACCACCGGAATGTGGCAAAAGTTGTCAGAATAGTGTACGACCGGTTTGATCTGGTCGGTCGTGTGCCAATCTAGCATTTTCTAGCCAGATCCATTGCGGCTCTGGTTGAAAACGGCCAGATCTCTAGCCGTAGATCTAGTTGTTTCCGGCCAAATCCATGGTGGATCTGGTTAGAAATGGTCAGATCGACGCACGATCGACTAGATCCGGTTGGTCGTGTGTCGTTCCGACGCCAACCATTTCATTGAGTGAAACAAACAAGCCCTTAGTTAAGGCACATTATTTGAAATATGTTATTCTGAAAAACAATTTTAAGTTAGTTGAGTTGGGTTAAATCAAATTGGATCAGATTCTGAAAATTTGTTTGATAAAATATCTAAAAAGTATATTAACAGTTTGATAAAATGTTAAATAGTAGTTTGGTACATTTTCTAAAAATATTTTAGATTCTTTTTTAACCCCCTATATTTGTTAGTTTACTTAAACACTCTCTACAGTAAAAGTTTAAAAATTAACTAATGTACCCTAGTCACCCAAGAGGACAGTTGGCCGTCGGCCACCACCACTAGACGTGCATCATTCCAGCCATGACGACCAACAATGGCAGGTGATGATGGTCTTAGATGGATTAATTTTCAGATTGGAATGAGTGAAAGGTTTTTTAGTTGAATGGAGTTGGAAAAATATTTTAAGTTGAATCAAATAGGATAATAGAAAACATGCCTCGCCTACTTTTCATTTTGAGACAAAAAATTCTTATTTTTTGAATGAAATTATCCACTAATATTTTGTTTTTTAATCTAAATAAGATAATTAAAAAATGATTCAAAATATTATAACAAATGGGGCGGTGACTTTTTTTTTTTTAAGGTGATTGTATTTGTACCCCAAATCCTGCAATGATAGCTTCAGTAGATGTTTTTGTTTTTAAATATAATTTCAGACTTTTTCCTCGGACAACCCCTGAAACAGAAATACTGACACGTGGCCCACCAACTCGGGAACTAGCCACTTGGAACCCCCTGTCGTGAGTTGTTTTTGTTTGTTTAGATAGCAGACCGGAGTTGACCAAGTAAGAGATCAAGAAGATACCGCTGATTGACCAAAAACATAATTCCATCATTGCAAAAGGCTGAATATTGATGTGACAATAGGAGAGATAAAAATATTGTGACAGGTAATATGCATTTGTGCCCTTAAAATGTGAAGGAAATTACAAAAATACCCTTAAGACTACCTGTTTGAGGTTTGAACCAATGCTCCAAAATCTAGACTGAAAGATGACTCGATCGTTTCGGTTTAACCGGTCTGACCAATGGATTAGACCGATGATGTCATCAAATATATATATATATATATATTTTCTCACATGTCATTTTATCTTCTCTTTCTCCTCTTTTTTTTTTTTTTCCTGTTTCTTTCCCTCCTCCCTTTCTTCTTTATATTATATATTTTCAATATGTCACTTCGTTTTCTCTTTCTTCTTCTCTCCTTCATCCTTTTTTTTTTTTTTTTTCCCTCTCTTTCTCGCCGTCCCTTCTCTTTCTTCTTCTTCCATACTCTCCTCTTTTCTCACCTCCTCTTCTTTTTCTTCTTCTACATCTTTTAGATCTTCTTCTTCATCTTATTTTTTTCTCTTTCTCTCCGTCCTGTTCTCTTTCTTCTTCTTCTGCTTCTTTAGATCTTCTCCTTTTATCTTTTTTTTTTTTTTCACTTTCTAAACTCGAATCTAATAAAAGATGAATAAAGGTGGAAGAGAAGACGAACGAAGTTAGATCGAAAGCCGGAAAAAGATGAAAAAAAAACAAATAAAAATTAAAGAAACGAAGGTTGAAGCAAAAAAAGTAGGGATTTTTCCTTTTAAAACAGTCACATGTGTTGGACCGGATTTTCATCTGATCCGGTTGGACCAGCAGTCTGATACTATTCATCCGATCTAATAACAGTAAAAAACGGTTTAAATGAAAATACCAGTTTTTAACTCTTAATGAATTGGAATTATTGACGAAACCCGGTTGGACCGTCCATTCCGGTCCGGTTTAAAAAATTGGTTTGAACGTAAATTTGCAACTTAAAAAATTGTGAAATTACAAAAAACTCAAAGCATTTGACCACTGGTTCAATTGAAGTAGCCGTTGGCCAAGGAAGTATTTAAGCATCATGCACAATAGCACAAGGGATAGCATAATACTCACATGCACAATAGCACAAGGGATAGCATAATACTCACCATGTCGGGGACCCGGCCTGACCTGAACGGGGTAGAGTTTCCTCAAGTTGTTTGGGGTTCGGGTTAGGGACGAGCTGAAAATCAGTCCCCAAATTCGAGGACGAAATTGGTCCCACCCTAGCCCCAAATTGTCTTCACCCTGACTTCCTTGACCCGGCCTATATATTATTATTATTATTATTATTATTATAATAATTATTATTATGATTTGTAGTACTAGTAAGGTTTAGTTTTAACCATTTAATCTTATATTAATTAGAATAGTTGAAAAAGTCATAAATTATATAAGAACAAATTATAATTGTGTGAGTATTTTATGAAATCATATACAAATGGGTAATAAATAATAATAAATTAAATATAATAATCATTATAAATATTTGTAATACAGAATAAAAATGTTATATATGTATAACGTATCGTTTGATATACATAATATATATGTATAATGTATATATATACATTATAAATTTAATTTCTTTTTGGATGGTATACATTATAATTCAGAGAAAATGATAAGATATCTCAAGAATGCAAAACCCCCAAATGGGGATTTTGGAGCTTCCTCGAATTCTCCGTTTGGAGATCGGGCCTAATTCGAGGATTCCCTGACCTGGCCCGTGCCCATCCCTACATGCACCAATAAGGTTATGAAAAATTGCATTGAGTAGGCAACCTCATTTGCAAATTAGGCAACCTCATTCAAACACTTTATCACAACAACATTCATCCATCCATCTACAATGTCTTATTCAACATGGATTGTAACTATTCTGAAGTAAAACAGTGGTAAAAGACTTCAAATAAAGTTAATATTCATATTGTATTGCACCTGAAAAGAATATACATTTTAACTGCTTAATGTTTGCTGTCGTTACAAATGGATTTCGGTTCGGTTGCCGAGTATCCGGTTTCTGAACCGAATTTGCTGCTTCAAATCCTACAAAGCAATTGAAAATCATTTTTAGATTCAATACACATCACAAAAAACAAAGTAATTCAAGAGTCGACAAAGCAAAATAAAACAAGACAAGTAGTAAGCTTGAAAACTTATGGTGACAAACAAAAGGAAAACTCAGTTTAGAGCATCAAAATGAGGCTTGGAAACAAGCCAAATTCACACAAATCTAAAGGGGAATTAACAACAAAGACGCAAACAAGAGCTGAAAAACAACCAAAATCAATCCAAATATTCAAGTTTGCGTGGCTAAGCGGCCATGAAGATTGAAGAGACCTACAAGAATTCTATTTTTTTTGGCAACCGCGACATGGGTGGTCGCATGATCAAGTAAATTGCTTAAAAGAATTTCAACATTTAATATCGAAGAACAACTCATGGGTACCAAAACACAAAATTTTTTCATTTGCGCATTCTATCGAACATATGATCTACCACATCAAAAGTTTATGTATATACAGAGAGGTTAGGGTACGTCAATTAAAAAATGTGACTTAAATTTTTAAACATAAAAATTTATTGCATTGCTAAGAGAGGCACGTCAGGATTGTACATTTTGAACCGTTATTTCAGAACAATATATATATCGTCATACTAATTGTGAAAATAATTGACGATCAAGTTCCTCGACGGCTAACATCAACCACCACAACCTCCACCACCGCACCCACCACCACCACAACCCCCACCGCCACCGCCACAACCACTACTAATACTTGCAATAGCAGCTCCAGTAGCTAAACCAACAGCTCCTCCCAAAATAATCATTCCACCATCTTTTGTGCCACTGCTTTTGGTTTTTGCCTCTCCTTTTTCTACATCAACATGAGTTCGCTGAGGCGGAGGAATTGTCACACTAGGCGCCCTAGCAGTGGGATATTGATGAGTTTCCTTCTTTTTGCGGCCTCTGTTGCAAAGACAACGTAGAATTAAAAGGACTGCAATTGCAGAAAAGCAAGAAGCTATAACTATGAGAGCAATAGCGTAGGCTTTCATCCCAAGTATTTCTTGGAGATATCGAAAAGTAAATATGAAGAACTCTTGTTATGAACATATGTATTCTTAATCTTATATATACATACATTACACAGACTCTATTTAATTTCCAGATGAATTAAAGGGAAATTTACATCTTAGTTACCTTGCAATTTTGAGGAAAGATGCATGAAGCATGGCGAAAGTTTAGTGGGTTGACAGTTGACTTCATAATTTCATGTGAATTTCTTCAACACACCGTTGCATTTCTTCAATAGACAAATTAAACTAAATTCCTTAATCCATCTTCCTTAGCAGCTTCCTTGACCTTTTAAATTACTTGATGAGAGAAAGTATAATCCTTCAAATTCTTTGATGTCAACATTTGACTTTTAGCTAATTATCTCTTTGCAGTTTCCTACATAATTTTTAAATTAATTATAATTAATTACATATTTATAAATAAAGAAGACTTTGTCAAATGAATAAAATAAATGATAATAAGGATTGATTGTGAAGTGGAGTGGTCAACAAGCAATAGAAATAATGAAAACTAGTTTAAGGCCCGCGGAATGGCATTGTGCGGGTTGATTTTGAAATTAGATTTGGACATATTGTTTATCTTTTGGATCTTGTATATGAATTTCATTTTGACGTTATTTAATGTTGCATTAATGATTAATATTTTATATTAATTGCATATTAATTTTATGTGAAAAAGTAATATTTTATTACAGGCATTTTTTTGATACATTGGATAAAAGATTTTAATATTCTATTAATAAATAATATTTTATTTTAATTGCATATTAATTTTTTATGAAAAAGCAATATTTTATTGGATGTATTTTTTGATATACTGGATAAAAGAATTAATAATAGTAATTTTTTTCATCGTTACACATTTATATATACTTATTATTTAATCCAATTTGCTAAAATTAATTATAGTGGATATATATTGTAAAATATAATTAATTCAAAATGTTATTATTAATTATAGTGTTTTTTGAATTGGACACTTTTGGATTAACTTTAGCTTGTTATTTTTTTTGGATCGGATAGTTAATGCTCTATCAGTTATTGGGCCTGGCAAATTTGTTATTGTTGTATGAATTGTTTGGCCGGGTTTTATTTCAAATTTATTTACTATTTAATTAGGGTATTTTTCAGTACATTGTCATCATCTCTATCTTGTCGTCTTGTATCTGTTTTTGTTTTTTTTTTTTTCGATTTCAACTACCGCTTTTTGTTTGTTTAAAGCTTCTACAGTATCTAAACAATATTTTGTAAGAATGTAAGTAATATTTATTTTGTCCATTTTTATTTTTTTGTTTGGAACTCTTTGTTTTCGTTCTTTTTTTATCGTTTCATTTGTTTATCTATGGTTTATATTATATTGTGTAGCTTTGTTTGATATACATTGCATAATGACAATGAAGATTAAGTATTTGTTTGGGCTTTTGTAGTTTTGCAAGATTGATTTTTGAAATTTGATTGTAGCATGGAGATCTGAAATAAAGGGTTGAAGAAAGTGAAGCTTTATTTGGTTTTTTTTTTTTTTTTTTTGAGTTATTATACTGTTGTTCATATTATATTGTAAAGGTGTGTTTGATATGTATCGGATAATGAGAGTGATGATTAAGTACATGTTTGGGCTTTCATAGTTTTGCAAGATTAATTTTATATTTGGCTTTTGTTCTTGTTCGGGTATTGTTGATAGCATGTCAACCTCAAATCAAGTGTCCAAGAAAGGAAAGTGCCCTGTTAATGTTAATGCTAGATGCTCTGTTTGTTTTCAAAAAACAGATCTTGAAAAGCAAAATTAAGATATTCAGCGTTTAATTGATTATGTTGTTTATAGTGAAAGTGAAGAAAAAGATCAATGACCAGGATATGTGATTACGGAGAGTTCTCAGTCCAATAGGAAAAAGAAAACTCTGGAACAAAAATCTGATTACTTGATTGAACTAATAGAAAGTAAACAAAGCAAGCTTACTTCTCATGATAATTCTTGCACCTATCAATTCAAATACAGAAGTTTATATTTTAGTTCGCAAAAAGAGGTATTATTAGCATAGTTGTAAAAGTATTGTTTTTTATATGGATTTTCATTATTGTATTGATTTAATTGTTTTATTTATTTATTTGGTGTTGTTTTGTTAAACAGATTGAAATTTTAACTCAAGAGAACCATAAACTTGCTTTAAAGCTGGAAAACTTGCCTGGTAAACTTAAAGTGGTATGTTTGTTATGGCTTTTATATTTGTTTGATTTATTGAATTGTTTTTATTCGGGATTCATGTTTTTTAATTAGTGTTGTTTGGAAGGTGTTTTGAATATATGTTCTTTTGCATAACATATATGTGTTTGTTTATATTATAGACCATCGTACTTAACCGTCAGATTTCTATAATAGGGAACAACAAAACGGTTGTCAATTTTGACACTTTTTTTCTCAATAAATGCTCCAGTATCTCACCTTCATCATCTACAGTTGTTGCATTCACAAATTTCTTTGGAAAATGTTTTTTGCATTTCCCTTTCTCCATGCAAGGTGAACTTGTATTTAAATTTCCACATGGACCATGGATATTGCAGTTCCGAAAAGTTGCATAAGCAAGAGGATCCTTTTCTTTATCTGGTAATTCAGCAGATATCATCCTATCAATCTTCGATGGCGAAGGATTCTTATATTCACTACAGAGGAAAATCAATACATGTGCATGTGGGAGACCTTTTTTCTGGAATTCAATAGTATAAATAACTCGGAAATATAATAGATTATTGTCAGTAATTGTTGATATATTGTAAATTTCATATTATAAATCATAAATGAATAAATGGTTTGAAAGAAAATATACATATTATTTATAACAGTACTTACTTACCAGAGTTTCACCAAAATATTTATCCTTCTTTATCTCTTTCATCAGTTTAAGCAATTTCATCTCGAACACTCTACAAACGCAGTTACTCTTCCTTTTTCATCACATTGACCAATAGCATTCGATATATATTGTATCTTCGGCCACTTTGGATTACATGTGAATGTCAAAAAAATATCAGGATATCCATGATATCTACAAGTTGCCATAGCATCTTGATAATTCTGAATACGATATCGTGGGCTGCCAGCGTGAGAGGACGGTAGCAATGTACACTTGCCTATATTCTCTGCATTAATATCCCCTTTTGAAATAGCATCCATCAATCCCTATACAAATCACTTCTTAATTTTAATTTTAATTTTTCTTATCCAACGAAACCTTTCCTCTTCAATAGCCATATATGCATCTACAATATATTGTTGCAATTGTCTGCCAAATTTCATCAAAGTGTGTGTCCTTCATTCAATCTATACTGCAATCAAAAGGCATAAAATTGTCTCATAGTCAATTTATGCCTTATAGAAGTTTCTCTATCGCCTGATTCTCTATGCTTAATGACAACCCTATATCCATCATCTCCATACGGAAACAAAATTGGATAACTTAATGCCATAAAACTGGAATGTAAGTCAGTAATTCTCTGTAAACCATTCTTTGAATGATAAACAATAACATCCTTTCCAACATCTAACAGTCCAACATCACCAACAATTATTCCTGCAATTTCAGATGCAGCTGGCAAATTATACTATCTTCCATCTTTTTCTCTATGGATTTTTAACTGCAAGTGGAGTTCAGGAATATTATTTGATTCAATATAGTCCTTAGCAAACAGAAAACTTTTAACCAACTCTTTGTTCCTATCAAGCATCAATTCTTCGATCAATTCCTTGTCAACACTATTGTAAGTTGCTTGCCTTCCCATAGAATTCAATCTGTGACTGATTTCACATTGTGTATCATAGATGTAAAGCTGTGCAAAAGTAGGTTTCTTTCCAACAAGTGGAAGCAATGTCCCTATACGGTGATAATTTTGCCCACAAAGTCTGAAAACATATGGACCACTATTTTTATTAATATCAATATCAATGTCCCCTCCCATTAATGTAAATGAGAATATTGAGTTGTATATTTTTTATCTTGTTTCTGAATATTTTTCCTTTAGAACCATTGTTTACATCCAATAATTCTTTCAACAGTTCAGGTGGTTCTTTCAACAGTGGTAATTCAATTTTCCCATCCATATAGCATAACGAAAATATAGGAGAAGATATATTTCTGCCCTTAATTGTAAACTCTTCATACGACATGATTGCCCCACAATGCTTGCAATTGTAAGATGGTACACTAAAGTTCAATGGTTCCAAATCCACTGACAATAGAAATAACACTAATTTTAAACAAATATCAAAGATAATGATATTGTTACACAAATGAACAAACTGTAATTATTTGTTATGTAAATATATGTCTAATGTTTATAACTTACTATTACATATTTCTGAAAGAGTAAGCTTTAATTTAGATTTTTTTTCTTACATAATAACCAGCACCTGCAAAATTTTATATATAGTCAATCAGATTTCTCAAGAAAATGAGAAGAACATAATTATATAACAACATAATTTTCCTTACCTCTCTTTCTTTTTAATATAGATATTATGTATCTTCTGTTTTCTTTGTATATGCGATCATTATTTTCATAAGGGCCTAAGCAAATTTGCGAACCTACATTTGTTTCCAACTCAGATTTTGTTTCATTATTTGATACATCTACATTTGTTTCCGACACCG